TGTAAGTGGTGCCATTAGTAGTGTAGGTGGTGCCAGTGGTAGTGTAAGTGGTGCCAGTGGTAGTGTAGGTGGTGCCAGTGGTAGTGTAGGTGGTGCCAGTGGTAGTGTAGGTGGTGCCAGTGGTAGTGTAGGTGGTGCCAGTGGTAGTGTAGGTGGTGCCACTTAGTCCTGCACACAGTGGTTAACAAGCTTCTCACTCACCTGTGCTGTCTCTGAGTTCTCCCAACATTTGACCAGTTATCTGGGATCCCTCCTTTGAAGATTGGATCCCACAGACCTCCCTTGATCCTTCCTAGATGGATCACCGTAGGATCTCGCGATCCTACCTGAAGACTGGATCACCCACGACCTCCCTGGATCCTTCCTAAGGAATGGATCACCGTAGGATCTCTGCGGATCCTACCTGAAGACTGGATCACCCGCAGGACCTCCCTGGATCCTCCCTAAGGAATGGATCACCGTAGGATCTCTGCGGATCCTACCTGAAGACTGGATCACACTTTAAAACTGGTCTCTCCAGTGTCAGACAAAATACATTTCTTTTGCTCAATAATAAATCGTGATTTTGTTTAATTTATTGTGTACAGGAGAATAATTTACAGTCTAAATAAATCTAGTAATTAGATTCAAAATTTAGCTCAGATGTTTTATTTCCTGCAATAAGTTTATGAGATTATTATATAGTTTATGGCTTTCTAATTTAGTCAAAATAAGATATAAGAATATTTATATATAACTCACTCCTCTCTCTCTTTCTCTTCTCTCTCTCATCCTCTCTCTCTCCCTCTCTCTCTTCTCTCTCTCTCTCTTCTCTCTCTCTCTCCCCCCTCTCTCTCTCTCATATATATATAATTATTATATATATATAATATAAAAATATATATTATATATATATATATAATTATATAATTATTATTATTTTGTGTTGGTGTGTGTGTGTGTGTGTGTGTGTGTGTGTGTGTGTGTGTGTGTGTGTGTGTGTTTGTGTAGTGTGGGGTGTGTGTGTGTGTACACGCCTGATTGTGGTTGCAGGGGTCGAGACTCAGCTCCTGGCTCCGCCTCTTCACTGACCGCTACTGGGTCCTCACTCTCCCTGCTCCATGACCTTTATCATACCTCGTGTTAAAACTATGTATGGTTCCTGCCTCCACTACATCACTTGCCAGACTATTCCACTTCCTAACAACTCTATGACTGAAGAAATACTTCCTAACATCTCTTTGACTCATCTGAGTCTTCAGCTTCCAATTGTCACCCCTTGTTTCTGTGTCTCCTCTCTGGAACATTCTGTCTCTGTCCACCTTGTCTATTCCACGCTGTATTTTATATGTCGTTATCATATCTCCCCTAACCCTCCTGTCCTCCAGTGTCGTCAGGCCAATTTCCCTTAACCTTTTGTTCATAGGATATACCCCTGAGCTCTGGGACTAGTCTGGTTGCAAACCTTTGCACTTTCTCTAATTTCTTGACGTGCTTGACCAGGTGTGGGTTCCAAACTGGTGCTGCATACTCCAGTATGGGCCTGTGTGTGTGTGTCAGTGTGGAACATATAACCCACAATAACTTAGGTGTAACTGGTGTTGTTTACAGAACTTAACATCTCCGTCATCAGAAGTTAAATAATAAAATACTAAAATAACTTATGGGTGAAATATTTCTTTCTGTTTTGTGTGAGTTTTATGTGAACAAATAAATTAATGATTCTTACACACACACACAACACATAACACAACCACATACACACACACACACCAAAACACACACATACACACACACTAACCACACACAAAACACCCCACCAACACAACACAACACACACACACACACACACACACACACACACCACATAACACACACACACCACACACATACACACACACACACAAAAACACACACACAAAACCCCAACAACACACACAAAACACACACACACCACACACACAAAACACACACACACCCCACACACCAAAAACAACACACACACACACACACACACACCACACACACACATACACACAACACAAAACACAAAAACACACACACACACAACACACACACGCACAACACACACACACACACAACACACACACACACACACATACAACACACACACACACACACACACACCACACACACACCAACACACAAAACAAAAACACCAAAACCCCCAAACCCCACATAACACACACACACACACACACCATACAACACACCAACCCCACACACCACACCAAAACACCCCACACACAAACACATATAAAAAACACACACCACACATATAAACACACACACAAAATTTACCACACACACACACACATAACCCCAACCACCACAATATACACACCACACACCACAATCAACCCAAAACCACACACCACACACACAACACCACACACACACCACACACAAAAACACCACACACACACACACACACACACCAACCACACACACACACCACAACACCCACACACCACACACAAACCCACACACACCCCACAAAACCACACACACACACACACCCCCTGCAACAAGCAATTTCTTTTGTTAAGAGAAACTTTTCCCACAGGAAAAATAATAACCCGTCCCCCCCAAAAAAATTTAAGAAGAAATTTTTTACATCGAAAATTTATTAAAATATTTGTTGATTACGGGATGAGTATATCAGTGAAACAGGTCGGAGCAACACAAATATACATTCCATTTATATGTAGTTGAAGCGAGTTACAACCTTAACCCCAGCACAGCCTGGTGTGGACCTTGTCCTGGGTGACCTTGTCTAGGATCAACAAGGTCCCCCTTGAACCCCCAAAACTTTCCCCCACCTCAAGTTGATGACCCCACCTTGACACTGTGACATTTGACTGAAAAAAGTTGACTGTTACACTTGACTGAAACTTGCTGTGACACTTGATGTAACAGTTGACTGTGACATTGACTGTAACAGTTGACTGTACATTTGACTGAAAGTTGACTGTGACACTTGCCCCTGAAACAGTTGACTGTGACACTTATGTAACAGTTGCTGTGGCATTTGCTACACACTTGACTGCTTTGACTGACACTGACTGGGGTAAAGGTTGTTACAGCTTCTTTTAATACAACAAAACTTCTTCTTTAGTTTTTTAAGGGGGTTTTTTTTAAAGTATTTGGGGTGAAGAAACAATCATTACTGTTCTATGGGGGTTAGCGAGTCACTACGATAGATAACAATTTTTTTAAGGGGTTTTTTTAAATTCTTGTATTTAAATGCAAAAAACCAAAAACATGTTCTGGCTGTATAATACAGCGAGATAAATAAAAAAGCTATTGAAAAAACCACAAAATAACCACCCAAAAAAATCTAGAGAAAAATTTAAGAATTTTTTTTGGGGAATGGGGGTGGGGGGGGAGGGGGGGGGGGAGTGGGGAGGGGGTGGGGGGGGGGGGGGGTGGGGGGGGAGTGGGGGGGGGGTTTGGGATGGGGGGAAGGGGGTGGGTGAGTGGGGGGGGTGGGTGGGGAGGGGGGGGGGTGGGGTGGGGGGGGGTGGGATGGGGTAGGGGGGGGTGGGGGGGGTGGGGAGGGGGGTGGGCAGGGGGGGGGGAGTGGGGGAGGTGGTGGTGGGGGTGGAGGAGGAGGGAGTAAAGGAAGGGGTGGAGTGGGGGGGAGGGGTGATTTAAAGTGTGGAAAGGGGAGGGGGGGGGTTGATGGGATGGTTTTAAAGGAGTGGGGAGGGGGGGAGTCTGAGGGGTTCAGAGGTAGAGGGGTTTGGGAGGGAAGGAGATTGAGTGGGTTTTAGGTGGAGTAAGGGAGGGGGTGGTTGATGAAGTGGAGAAGTGTAGTGGGGAGGGGTTATGGTGGGGAAAAAGGGGTGGTGGTGGGACGGGGTTTGGGTGATGAAATGGGGAGGAGGGGAAGGTTGGTGGTGTTGGGGGTTTAGGGATGAGGGTGGGTGGGGAGGGAAGTATGGGGGGTTGTGGAGTGGGGGTGGGGGGTTAAGAGTGGAGGATGGTTGGATGCAGGGTGATGGGGTGGAGTGGGGGTGGGTGGTGGTGGATTGGAGGTGGTTTTGGTTGAGTGGAGGGTGGGTGGAGTGGAGGGTGATGGTTATGGAGTGGGGGGTGGTGGGGGTGGTGGAGTGGAGGGTTATGGTTTTGGGGGAGGGTGGTGGTGGTGGGTAAGGGTAAATGGTGGGGGTGGGTGGGGGTGGTGGTGGTGGAAAGGGGGGGTGGGGGGGTGGAGGGGAGGGTGGGGTGGAGAAGGGTGGTGGTGGTGGGTATAGGGGGGTGGTGTGGGTGGGGGTGGTGGTGGTGGAGTGGGGGTGGTGGGGTGGAGTGGAGGGTGGTGGTGGTGGATGGAGGATGGTGGTGGAGAATGGGTGGGGTAGTGGAGTGGAGGGGGGTGTGGGGAAAATTTGGGGGGTGGTAGTGGATGCAGGGTGGGTGGTGGGTATAGGTGGGGGGGAGTATAGGGTGGTGGTGGTGGAGTATAGGGGGTGGTGGTGGAGTGGGGAGGGGGGTGGTGGAGTGGGGGTGGTGGGGGAATGGGTGGTGGTAGTGGGTGGGGGGGGGGTGGAATATGGGGGGGGGGTAGTGGAGTGCAGGGGGGTGGTGGTGGAGTATAAGGTGGTGGTGGAGTATAGGGTGGTGGTGGTGGAGTGGAAGGTGGTGGTGGAGTGGAGGGTGGTAGTGGTGGAGTATAGGGTGGTGATGGAGTATAGGGTGGTGGTGGTGGAGTGGAAGGTGGTGGTGGAGTGGAGGGTGGTAGTGGTGGAGTATAGGGTGGTGATGGAGTATAGGGTGGTGGTGGTGGAGTATAGGGTGGTGGTGGTGAAGTGGAAGGTGGTGGTGGAGTGGAGGGTGGTAGTGGTGTTACAGTGTAAGTCAGTGGTACAGTGTAAGTCAGTGTTACAGTGTAAGTCAGTGTTACAGTATAAGTCAGTGTTACATTGTAAGTCAGTGTTACAGTGTAAGTCAGTGTTACAATATAAGTCAGTGTTACAGTGTAAGTCAGTGTTACAATTTAAGTCAGTGTTACAGTGTAAGTCAGTGGTACAGTGTAAGTCAGTGCTACAGTGCAAGTCTGTATTACAGTATGAGTCAGTGATACAGTGTAAGTCAGTGTTACAGTGTAAGTCAATGTTGCAGTGTAAGTCAGTATTAGTGTATGTCAGTGTTGCAGTGTAAGTCAGTATTACAGTGTAAGTCAATGTTACAGTATAAGACAGTGTTAGATTGTAAGTCAGTGTTGCAGTATAAGTCAGTATTGCAGTGAAAGTCAGTGTTACAGTGTAAGTCAGTGTTACAGTGTAAGTCAGTGTTACAGTGTAAGTCAGTGTTACAGTGTAAGTCAGTGTTACAGTATAAGTCAGTGTTACAGTGTAAGTCAGTGGTACAGTGTAAGTCAGTGTTACAGTATAAGTCAGTGTTAGACTGTAAGTCAGTGTTACAGTGTAAGTCAGTGTTACAGTGTAAGTCAGTGTTACAGTATAAGTCAGTGTTACAGTGTAAGTCAGTGTTACAGTATAAGTCAGTGTTACAGTGTAAGTCAGTGTTACAGTATAAGTCAGTGTTACAGTGTAAGTCAGTGTTACAGTATAAGTCAGCGTTACACTATAAGACAGTGTTACATTATAAGTCAGTGTTACAGTATAAGTCAGTGTTACAGTGTAAGTCAGTGTTACAGTATAAGTCAGTGTTAGAGTGTAAGTCAGTGTTACAGTGTAAGTCAGTGTTACAGTATAAGTCAGTGTTACAGTGTAAGTCAGTGTTACAGTGTAAGTCAGTGTTACAGTGTAAGTCAGTGTTGCAGTATAAGTCAGTGTTACAGTATAAGTCAGTGGTACAGTGTGAGTCAGTGTTACAGTATAAGTCAGTGTTACAGTATAAGTCAGTGTTACAGTATAAGTCAGTGGTACAGTGTGAGTCAGTGTTACAGTATAAGTCCGTGTTACAGTGTAAGTCAGTGTTACAGTGTAAGTCAGTGTTACAGTATAAGTCAGTGGTACAGTGTGAGTCAGTGTTACAGTATAAGTCCGTGTTACAGTGTAAGTCAGTGTTACAGTATAAGTCAGTGTTACAGTATAAGTCAGTGTTACAGTATAAGTCAGTGTTACAGTGTAAGTCAGTGTTACAGTATAAGTCAGTGTTACAGTATAAGTCAGTGGTACAGTGTGAGTCAGTGGTACAGTGTGAGTCAGTGGTACAGTGTGAGTCAGTGGTACAGTGTGAGTCAGTGGTACAGTATAAGTCAGTGGTACAGTGTGAGTCAGTGGTTCAGTGTGAGTCAGTGGTACAGTATAAGTCAGTGGTACAGTGTGAGTCAGTGGTACAGTGTGAGTCAGTGGGAAGGAACCAATGAACCACCTGAGTGAACAAACATGATATAACATGAACTAAGAACATGAATGAAGACACTGATAAAGGAGAACAGAAAAAAGTGTAAATATAATTGTTAGTAATAAGCTTCATAAATAAGGAAAATGTGGAGTAATAAATACGGTCCAAGGAGCCAGAAGAAATATATGTATGTATATATATATATGTGTGTGTGTGTGTGTGTGTGTGTGTGTGTGTGTGTGTTTGTGAGATAAACAGAATACGTCAAACAAAAATTTTAGATTTTTCCTTTATCAACAATAAAAAAGTTTTACATATAAATAAAGGCAATAGCGCTGGCGGATATTAATTCACAGCCGACCGTCGATAAAAAAAAAAAATTGGTAGTGAAGAACATGTTCACAGAGGTGAACATGAAGCGAAGGTTAAGCAGTGAAAATGAGGCGGACACATTGTTAGTCGTTCCCAGCTGTGGAGGGAGGGATGG